TGGTAGCCTATCAGACCAGTACTATACCAGTATCCACCAGGCATGTATATATGATCTATACCAAGTACCACCTATCATCTTTGAATAAATTAATACAAAATAAATATAAATAATACGTGTACCAGAATCAAACTTGCATTTTTTATACCGGTACTTGATTGGGCCAGAAGTAGCAGGTATGCATATTGGTGTGGCATGTATTTAAAACCTTTATTATGACAAAAGAATAGAACTGAACCTGTTACAGCAAGGTGCACCATGAAGTTCCCCAAATGAAGCCTCTAGTAATTTTACTTAATAAGTAAAATAAATTTTGGCAAACATATTTCAAGAAAATGAAAACACAATATCTTATTAGGTTTCTTCACTTGATTTGAGATGCCAGATTCCTGCAAGATCTGATGTTACAGTTTCAGATTCAGATCTGATGGATGGAGCAGAATATTTGAGCAATTTTAGTATGTTCTGGTTGAATTTGACATTTTTAGTTCCATCCATAACGAAAGGAATTAACTTTTAAAATGTAAGAAATCCAAAAAATGAAAATGAAAAATTACTTGTTCATTACAGGTTTTGTAAATATATCATCTAGTCTGAAATGATCGCTAACAGGTTCATGATGGTATTCTTTTTAAGATTTAATTTTTGCTCAGCTTGAGAATGTCTTTAAAACAAGTAGAAATCTTGCAATTTTTTCACTTGTTTGTATAGTGTGACAGTATTATCTAGACCTAGGATACTAGAAATGCATTTATGATTCAATACTCAACTACGATTTGTAAGAAATCAAGCCTCTGATATTTGTTGAGGGGAATCAGAGGAAAAACCAACAATTTGGGCAAAATCCCTTGATAACACTTCAATTTTGGTGGAAGATGATTGGTAATGAGCTTTCTCAAGAGGGAAAGATGTCAAGTGATAGTTCCATTAGTGGTCTACTTACATGGCCATCTACCATGTGTAACTTTCTCATATAGGAGAGCAAGAATTAGGCATCACATAGATGGCTTCATGCTGGAACAGTATGAGAAGGTCCAATATTATCATTTCTGAAGTTTCTCCCTTCAGAGTGTTGTTTGATCCGACTCTACAAACAGACGCTTTCAAGTTCTAAGATAACCTGAGATTTCAATTTCAACCACCTAGACAAGTCATCTACTTCCTTCACCAGTTATGGTTGCTAAAATCTAGCAGAAAGGTATCAGATCATGGTAAAAATGAATCATGTCAACAAATGGCACTCCCAAGCTGCAGAGAGCATCTCAAGATACAAGATACATCAGCAAAACTGTCATGGACTCATCAAATGGGCACTTCAAGAATAGTTCAATTAAGCTACTCATCGAATACCTATGATCGTCTATGCAGCCAGCTGCTAGGTATGACTCAGACTTTGACCAAGCTTTAAAGGCAATTACAACAGATTTTCTAGTCCTACAGAGGTAACCATGACCATGGCAGTTCATATAGATAAAAGTAAACCTACAGCTTCAGAAATATGAATCCTAAAACACTAATATTGACAAATTTAACACTATTTTCCTTTGTTGATAGTTTGTGGTCATTCAATTGTGCATCAGACTAAGGTGCAGCGTATTTAAACTAGACCACATTTCTCACTTTCCTCTTCCACTTTGACGGTTTGCACTACAGTGGTGGTGAAGTCATTTCTATTTTGGCGAATCTTATCAAGAAAAGCATCATGAGACTATGAAAGAAGCTGAACTAATTAAAAACCAGCACCGATGAACAAGTTAAGGCAACAGGACTTACCGAGAGGGTTTACCTCACCACCATAGCCTTGTATGCGGACCACCTCCTCGAAGGCAAGTCTACCATCCCTCGGTACTCCATACCACGTCTTCCCAGCGCCCATATGCAGGTAATTCAAGCTGTGCAGCTCGTGGTCTTCAACATGCCATGCAAACCAGCTAAACAGCATCGCTACATACACCATGGGCGACGTCACTCCAGGGATTTCCTCCTTCATGAACTGGAGCAGGGAGCCCTTAGCCCGGGACACACCCCGCATGTTCCACGCTGATTCCCCGACATTAGCCGGCGCCTTGTCACGCCAGCAGTGCCGGCCGTCGCTGGGGAGCGGAGCAAAACCCGAACCGGGCATGTCGTTGGCGTACTCGACCGAGAAGGGCTTGTCGGCAGAAGCCCGCCAGAAGAGGGTCTCGATTTCAATAGGGGAGAGAGCAGCTGAGGCGGCGGCCTTGCGAGCGCTGCCGCCTGCTGCGGCATGGCGGAGGTGGGAGCGCTCGAATTGGCGGGCCTTGGCCTCGAACTGCGCGAGGGTGTAGTGCTCGCCGCTCTGCCATACGGACTTCTGGACGGGGCGGGGGCGGCGAGGGCAGAAGCCGATCTGCTGCTGGCGAGTGGCGAAGGCCGGGGGCCGCTGGCCGAGCTCACGGGCGGCGAAGGAGCGGTTGAAGTTGGTGACGGCGGTCTTCTTGGCAGCGGGGGGGAGGGGGGGCACGATCTTGCAGATGCCGAAGGCGGCGGCTTCCTTCTCGATCTTGAGGATGTAGGCGATGGGGTCTTGGAACTCCTGCGGCGTGGGGCGGAACTCCGGAGCCTGCGGCAGCGACCTGAGCCAGGGGGGCACCTCCAGTGGCAGCGGCTCGGGGGCGGCCACCCCGGGCGCGGACGGCGACGCTGCGGCGGCCATCAACGGAGGAGGAGAGGTGCCCTCATCTGGAGAGAGGGCGAGTGCTTCTTGGAGTCCCTTCCTCTCTTCTCTTTTGGGGACGGGGAGAAGAAGGGTTTGGTTATATTCTACTCTGAGCTCGCTCTTTCTCTCTCACTTCCCTCTTTTCTCTTTCTTCCTCTTCTCAGCTGAGCAAAATAGAGAGAGAGAGAGAGGGAGTGAGTGAGAAGAGGAGGGGGGATTTGGATTTAATTTATGCTGTTGATGAGCACAACAGTAGGATTGGCACTGTGCTTCGAGGTGCAGATGAGAGGGGTTTGATAGGGATTGACATCTTTTGTTGCGTCCCCTAATATATATTCTTTAATTTTTTTTAGAAATAATATATATATATATATATATTTTGTAAATTTAATTTTATGCTATCATCCTAAATATTAAAATTCTTATGTGTAATAAATATATATTTATTTTTTTAAATCCTAATTTTTTTAAAATATTAATAATGATGGAAAGGATATAAAATTTGATTGTTCTACATGTAAACAAAATGAGTAAGCTTGTCAAATAATCCTATAAAAATCTATATCGAAGATATATTTAATAAAAAATTCTTGGTAATAAGACTTCGATAATCGTTGAGTTTGAAGTGAAAATTGATTTATGAAAATATTTTATAATTATTAAATATTATTTAGACATAAGGAGTCAAACTAATTATCGATTGTTGTGGATAGTACCATTATGTTATTCACATATTTTACTCATCTTACATGTGGATATAAAAAGATATTTGAGTATAACATGATATATTGTTTGGATGTGAACATATCAAACGTTCTTATCTTATGCCTCCAATATGCTCATAGGACATCAAGGGGTCAAAACATAACGGAGTTATAGATGATAATAAAGTTTGACATTTAGATAACCTGACAACCCATCATGTTATACTTCGAATGTCTTACGAGTTGAACAAAGACTAGTAGCCCATATAATCAATACATCGATGCCAATTGCAAATCATTCTAATGAATCTAACTTTCCATTTAATTTTGATGATTATTAAATAAAGTATTCTATAAAACATCTCAAACATGCTAACTCATCTATAGTTATCTAAATCCTAACTCGCGTCGAGCTCAAATATGTCTGGTAGAGCTCGTTAAACCCTTCAAATCTTATATTATTATGCTTTGAGTTACTAAAATCGAGTAACTCTTGTCAAACATATTTTTTTTTGTTCTTATATCGAATCTACTCATCTCTCAACACCAAACTTGTGATGTACTCGTATTCAAACTAAGATTAGCTTCGAATCCTCAATATCTTATATAACTTATATATATATATATATATATATATTTATCTGTATATATAATATTATTTTTAGGGTTGTCAAGTTTTGTAAGGATGATCTAATTATTTGGGAGGAGTACTAATTAAATACAACCTTCTTGGTAGAGTATGATTTAATTAGAGATTCAAGTGTTCTTAAAAAATATAATTTATTCTTAAATATATATTGAGAGGTAAGATATTTTGAGTGCTGATGAGAGTTTATATCTAGTGGTTTTAGAGATGATTGAGAGAAGATTTTTTTAAAGCTCATGTGAGAGGATATAGAAGCGAAATGTGAGAGGATATAGAAGCGAAATTGTGTTTCAAGGAGGATAACTCAAGGGCCTTGTAATTGATTTCACATGTTAAAGAATTTTATTTTATTCATAGGTGTAAATATAACATTATCCAACCACATAATATATTACATGTGTTTTTTATTTTAAAATAACTAATCACAAATAGTAGTAATTGATATGTATTTTTTGAGAATCTTAATATTCAAAAATATATATTATATCAAAATTCATAATAATAAATATTTTGTATCGAAATTTGAAAAATAATATAACTTATTGTCATAGCAGAATATTAAGATAAAATTTCATATAGTATTAAATGTTAAAAATTAAAATAACTAAATGGTTAACATCAATGTAGATATACAAATAATTTTGATATTTACTTAATGGAGTATATAGTATAAAATTCATTCATAATTTGTGATTAATAATAGTTAAGTCGAGTTTATTGGATGAAAGATTGAAATAATTGAAGCTATTTATATGAGATCCAAATATTTAGAGGGATTTCTATGTGTTATATATATATATATATATATATATATATATATATATATATATATATATATATAGTTTTGGAAGGAAAAAATGTTGTTTCCAAAATTAAAAGAACAAATAAAAAAAGTTGTTATTATGTTGATTTTTAAGGGCATTTCGGTCTTTTGAAAAGTTCGATAGAGGAGGTAAAGATGAATCCGATCCCGCCCCCTCCCTCTCTCCCTCTTCATCGCCCGCTGTCGCCGCCGTCCTCCCTCCATCTCTCGACGCCACCTCTTCATCCATCCCTCGCCTCCGTCCTCCCGAAAGGAGTACCGAGATCACTACGATTCTTTTGACGCTTCAGCAAATCGCTGTGGCAAAGGTGGGACACAAGTCGATCTTCCCAGACATCAAAGTTCAAGAAATCGGTACGAGTACCTTCCTCAGTTCCTCCTACTACTCAATAAAAACCACGACTTTGTATGGGTTCTTGCTTTGATAACGAGTGCTTCCTTTTCCTGTCAACTTTTGCTATGCTACTACTGTGTATATTAGTTTCTATTAAGAATTGTAGAACTATAGATCATGTCTTATCTAGTGGCACAAGATTTTAGATGGAACAACAGTGATAAAAAAATTATGATGGTATTAGAGCGAGATAACGTCTGTTCAAATCGCATGAAAAATAATTATTGGGTTTGGAAGCCACCTACACATGAGGGGAGTGTTAAGAATATAAATTAGATGGTGTCTCATCTAGAAGCTTAAGTTTTGAGATGAAAGACAGTGATAAAAATTTAAGATGGTATCCAAACGAAAGGTTCTGTATTCAAAACTTATCCATGTTACGTATTAAATAAAAAAAATATTATATTCCTTATCAATTTGAAAGTTCATGGCTTGGGTTTGAGTTAATCTGCCATATGCACGTGAGAGGAAGTGTTAAAAATATAAAATCATTGAGCATGTCTTGGCTAAAGGCTTAAGCTTTTAGATGGAGTAACATTTATAAAGATTTGAGAATTTGAGAGTTTCATATGCAATGAGATTTTCAACTCAATTATATGGATTGTACAGACTCATAATGATCAATGCTTTATGAATTGGATTTCAAAACGCTGCTATTCCTGAGTCGACTGTGATCATTCTGACATGTTATCAGGTCAAGTAGCGATGATGATGTTGCAAAAGGTGATGATAGCACGTCTTCACCAAGAGTTATATTGAAGATTAGTCAATATTATAAAAAAAAGTAGCTTAATTTGTTCCTAATGTTGTCTACAGTATTATGACTTCTTGGATAAACCTGCATTTGGTCCTTGGTCATAGTTGTATCCCATCTCTAATGATAATACATCTAGCTAGATGGTTCCTTTGGGAGGAGAGAGAAGACTTTTTCCAGATTGAATATCTATATGATTTTATATTTTATGTGTCAGCAATTTTTTCTTGGTTTAGACCTTATAATTGATTTTGGTTTTAACGTGCAGGACTTTTTTCTTTTACTGAATAAATTGAAGAATACAACAATTCTTGGGAGGAGCTTCTTTGTGGGTTTCATTTGCTTCTTTGAATCAATGGAAGCTTTGGGATCAATGATTGGGACTAGTCTTCCTTCCCACACAAAATTTATCTCTATGTCACCAAATTGTCTGACCATTAGATTGGCATCCCGAGATGTTCTCTCTCATTGTAAAGTCCCATATAGGAGACAAGTTCTAACAAAAACATTTAGTGGTTCAGAAGTAGTTCTGCAGAAGGCAAGAAGTAAAACTTGGGGCTTCGAGTGTAGATGCAGTGCTCAAGAGATGGAGAGCTATGTGGCAACTGACAACACTTCACGAAGCTTGACACAAAGGAAAAGACTAGCAGTTTTTGTCTCTGGTGGAGGATCAAATTTTAAAGCTATTCATGAAGCAGCCAAGGAAGGATTGGTTCATGGAGATATTATGGTTTTGGTCACGGATAAGCCCGGTATGTTTCATATTTGGACGTTTGAGGTACTTGCACAAAGAAATTGCTGGTCACTGTTGCTGATAAAATATTTCTGCAGCTTTTTCACTTCTATTGTTCTTCCCTCATGATTATGTTTATCTTTTTCTCCTTTTTGGCATTTCTCCAATCATCTACGGCATGCCCTAGTCATTTGGATGACCTGCGTGTACTTTGTTTTTTTAACTTAATGCCTGTAGAATGCCTGCAGTTCTCTTACCTATACTGAATACTAAAAGAGAATATTGGATACCTATAAATGACAGTCTTATTTTTTCTTTGAAAAAGGAAAATGTTTGTATATTGCATAGTTCTCTAATATACTCTGGATGCTTGTTGACATGAAAAACATTGCACATTTAATGTTCGGAGTAATTTTACAAATATTATGGAGATGAATCCACAATTCAAAGTAAGAAGAAAAAGAAATTATGAAAAATAAAATTATAAAGAAAAAAAGAAGACTATCAAGATGCATTTTCAACAGATGAGGAAATAAATGATGTTTGAAGATTGTATATGTTGGTTTGTGAATTTTTTCTTATAAATTTGTACGATGGATTTTAGGCATTTGCCATTGCCTCTAAGGTTGCAGAGTTATTAATCAACTGAATTGAATTGTATTATGTTAGACATTGATCAAAGCACTTGCTACTTATTTAAAACATATCGATAAGTAGTATCAGAAGACAGCAGAGTGACAAATTCTAAAGAAATAAAAATACTTCTTATTTTTTGATTAGTAACAGAATCTATAGTTGCAAGTGCAGTTTGTGACTTTTAGAAACATGATACTTCTTTCTCTTGATTGGTTGCAAGCGCACCTAGGACCAGGTCTATCATCTTTTAGGTATCGAGTTTTTCAGTCAATTTTGCCTTCAGTGATCCTGTAATGTTAGCATTTAACTTAAGATTTTTTTGACATACACAATATGAATACATTAATAAAAGCAATCCCTGTCAAGCTCATCAGCTTTTTGTGGGAGTATAGTTCTCTATTCCGGAAATTGTGTCCACAGTAACCCAGTTCATCCAAGACTGTATTGCTCTGTGTTAAGCTTATTTTTTTCTCTTAGTTAAAACTGACAAGTATTTTGGGATTGCTCGTCTTATCACATCCAAATCAGATTTTTCTGTTTTAATCTCCAATTGTTAGAACTGAAGCTTTATTTGTATTATTTTGTATCTTTGAGCTTCTTCCATTCTACTTTTAATTCACATATCAGCTCACGGAAACTCTCCGAGTAGTAGTGTCCTAAATGTAGAATGGAGTTTGTTTTGCCATCCAACCTCATATAACCTTGAACTATAGTTATTACTTATTAGATTGACAACCTGTGTTTTGTCATAGAGACTGGGATTCCTAATTTATTGGAATTGCTTACTTAGGTTGTTGCAACCAAGTGGGATAGCTTTTTTCACTTACTATTGATGGCTTCTAAACTAAACTGCAACCAAACTACCTTGCCATAAACATCATTGACTGCTCAGTAATAAATTCATAACAAAGTTGCGATGGTCATAATAATATGTATTTGGTAAGATTGCTAATTCAGCATAGCAACAAAATGGAAAGAAGAATATGGAATGTAATCTATTATCAGAAGTTTAACACCAGAGTAATCATTATGAGAGAAGTCTGTTACTCGTGCTGACAGGTTGTGGTGGTGCTGAATATGCAAGAGAGAATCAAATTCCAGTTATTGTATTTCCCAGGTCCATGTCCTCGCCTGATGCTGTATCAGCAGCTGAACTTGTAGCAACTTTAAGGTGAATGTTCTTGTGATACATGTACATTTGCATCTCTTTTAAGGTATTGTAATTGTCATTTCCATATTTGATCTCTCATGTTTTCTACAAAAAGCAAAATGGCAGGGACACTGTAAGATGAAGTTTTGTTCTTTTTGTACATAGGAACTTAAAAATATTGTCTATCATTTTCCAGGTCTCAAGTATGTAACCTTTGAAATCTAACTGCAGAATGTATGAACCGTAGGATGTAGGAACACTTATTGAAAGGAACGGTTGGTGTTTGTGGTTCTATAGTCAAGCTGTTCTATGCTGTTTGTGATTATAGTGGTCAAATTTGGAGGTACTAGCATAAAGTAAAACTATTGTGTTCCTAACCTAGGCCATCTTTGTTCAAAGTCATGCCTTAACTGGAAAGGCAGCATTCTTCCTATTTTGTTCTTAGGTTCACATGCAATATTATATTATATACTTGGTATTTTGATTAGTTTTGGAATGTTTTTGCCTTTTTTCATGCATTTCCTTAATGTTTGCAGGAATTTTGAGGTCGACTTTCTTCTGCTTGCTGGCTTCTTGAAGCTTATACCAATCGAGTTAGTTCAGGCATTTCCAAGATCCATATTGAACATTCATCCATCTCTTCTTCCTGCTTTTGGTGGTAAAGGTTTTTATGGTTTAAAGGTGCACAAAGCTGTCATAGGATCTGGGGCAAGGTATGGAAACGCTTCCTGTTCTCCAATGATCACAAATAGATGAGACTTTTACAAACCCTCCCCTCTATGTACCTGGCTCCATGTGGTGACTATTCTTCGACCTTCAGGTACTCTGGCCCCACAGTTCACTTTGTGGATGAACGGTATGATACCGGTCGTATCGTGGCTCAGAGAGTAGTCCCTGTGCTAGCAGATGACACTGCCGAGCAGCTGGCAGCGAGAGTCCTTCATCAGGTCAGCAAGTGGATTATACTTATAACGGAATGAGACTTTAATTATCTTTTCTTCTAGCTAATTCAACTTGAGGAGCTGCTCTTTGGTTTCATTGCAAAAATAAATGCTTGCCCATCTCGAAACTCGCAGATTCCTAATTATTGTTAAAATCTTCCATTCCAGGAGCATCAACTCTATGTGGAAGTAGTTTCAGCTTTATGTGAGGATAGAATTGTTTGGAGAGAAGATGGAGTCCCTCTTATTTGCAGCCGAGAGAATCCAAATAAGCTTTACTAGTCAAAGAACAGTGGAAATAACTGCTAGGACTGTTGATATTCTCCATAATCTGTTGAAAATTATCGACAGGAACTGGTAAGAATGATACATCATTCTACCAGGAGGAGCTCCATTGTTTTATTTAGCGATATAGGTTTCTTTTACTCCTGTTTTTTTTTTAATTTTTTGTGCACTCTATGTTTAGAGGTGTTCTTGATGTTTGACATAAATATAATAAGCTTGAAAATTTGACACCAATTCAATGCTACATTATCCACTTTGTATCCTATTAGAATTTAGAATTTAGAGTCTGACATAATTAGTCAGCCAGTTGGTAACATGATTACCTTCTCTATAAAAGTGTTATCTTGAAGTTCTCAAAGATTTTAGATGCCTAGAGATACTTACATTTGAAGTGTTCATTCTCAGTAACTGTCATATCTTTTGCCTTTTCCATGCATAGGATTCCTTGAGGCAAATTTGTGCATTTACTTAAAAGAAGCAAGATCAACCCATTTCAAAATCAATGTTCATAACTTAGCTGAAGTCCAACAAAAAAATTATATTATAGTATATAGTTTGAGATGTATTTTAATTCAAGTATAATTACTTTTGAAAAAATATATAGTCATTTAAATAATTTATATATAAACTCATTTAAATATAATTTTGAAGAGCACGTCAAATAAGTGACAGTCATCACTTTCACTTATTATATTATAGTATATAATATAATAAATCCTATTTTTATCAATTTTTCTTTATATATAATAATATTAATAATAGTAATAATAATAATAGTAATAAATAACTTCAAAACGAGGGGAGCATAAAACCATTGGGCGCCGGTCTAAGTTTGGCAGGTGTCAGTGAGCCCACCGGATAGCAGCTGGTATTGGACGGCACACAAACCCCGAGACCGGCCCTGTGGCATCATCCGTAAATTACCCCCAAATCCCGGGGCCATTTTGGTCGCCTAGAGTGCTCTTTCCGCCTCCCTGCCACCCTCGCACGTGACCGCCCACGAGCGAACCACCACATCCCCTGTTCCTCCGCGTCGCCGGAACTCCCTAAGCCGAACCCGCTCCTTCCTCTGATTCGTTGGTCCCAGAACAAATATCTCCCGACTCCGTTACTCCCTCCACGATGTAGTTTAATCATAGCAGTCCCAAGAGGCAGCGGAACGCACTGTGATTGTACGCGAATCGTAAAGCACATAAATCTCCATCCGACGGTGAAGATCGTTCAGCTGGAACAAAACCGCTTCGGACGGCAGCAGGTTTCATATATTTTACAGAAAAGAAAGAAAGTTCCAGAAACCCTGCGCCACACTAAATGGCTTCGCCTGCCACTTCGCCTATATAATACTCCGTAGGTTAACCCGTCTCTCTTCGTCACATTCCTCACTTTCGTCGCTTTTGCTCGCTTCTGGTATCTCATCTTATATCGCCATGGGTGAGACTTCGAATCCTTCTCTCGCGTTCTGATATTATAATTTTCCTCTATATCCATCTCATGTTGGGTTTTCTCTTGTTGTTGTAGCCGGAAAGATCAAGATCGGCATCAACGGTTGGTTTCTCCGCCCACTTCGATTTGTTGTGTTTGTGGTTGGGGTTGGGACTAGGTGGGATGTATGATCGATCTGTGGGCGTTCGATGACTCTATTTTGTGGTTGTTGATAGGATTTGGAAGGATCGGGAGGTTGGTCGCCAGAGTCGCGCTCCAGAGCGACGATGTGGAGCTCGTCGCCGTGAATGATCCCTTCATCACCACTGACTACATGGTACAATGTCATTTCACTAATCTCGTTTGCTGTATGTACAGATCTAATGATTTTATGGGTGGATTGATGACATTACAGCTCCTTTGTGTATTTGCTTGTGTGGATCATTAGTAGGATGATACCGATCCATGGTTTTGACGGTGAATTCGACAGATCCGTGGGATTTTAACTGTCCTAGTTATTGTCTTTCATGTCGACGTGTGTTTTGGTTATTATTCTGTTCGTTTATTGTGAAACCTGTGCATTTGCTCCCTTTGATTGTCGAATCTGACTTTTACGATTTGATATTGCACCGCAGACATACATGTTTAAGTATGATACTGTGCATGGGTCATGGAAGCATCACGATATCAAGGTGAAGGACTCCAAAACTCTTCTGTTTGGCGAGAAACAAGTCACTGTCTTTGGAATTAGGTAGTCTTCTTCTTATCCTTTCTGATATAGATGTTAGCAATCATTATGTTTGAGATACTGCCCTTGTTTGTGTAATAAAGCTGTTCTGGTCTTTAGGAACCCTGAGGAGATTCCATGGGGTGAGGCTGGTGCTGAGTACATCGTGGAATCCACTGGTGTTTTTACCGACAAGGACAAGGCTGCTGCTCACCTTAAGGTAATGGTATATGTAACAATGTCTCTAATATTATACATCAATCTTCTTCGTCAATGTCAAATAGCCTGGGTGACACAGGCTATAGGCCGACTCCTACTCGAGGTTGAGCTTAGCACACAGATGTTACTTCAAATCCAATAATTGACATTCACTTAAAACGTTTTTTTTCTTCTTTTAACGTGAAAATTATGTAGGTCATGTCAGGGAATCATTCAGAAGTTGTCATTTGGTAATATATTTTAGTCAGACAAGGGCAGTGGACTATGACACAATAAAGATAAGTTGTTTGTGAAAACTAGCAGAACCCACAGCTAAAACATTTGTTGAGTATGATATATACTATCTAAACTCAATTTTTCTAATTTTTACCATGTTCATAGGAAACCATGATTGCTTTGAGATAGTAGTGTGGCATGAGAGGTAAGTAAATGGTGGTGAAAATAAGTTGCATCAGGTGCTAACAGAGCAACTTTCAAGTGTTCAATTATTGCTAATTTCAAAAGTTCAAGGAATGGAAATCGGTCAAGTTTCTCTGTTGTCCATGTGGAAATCAAGTATTTCCTGTGGATATATCTACAAGTTAGTCTAGCTTCTCCAAAGTATCTGACAGTGACAGTCAGGTATTCTATTTGATCCTCTTGTGGCTAACATGAAATACAAGATCTGCATGTTGTTAGAAGCAAACCCAATTATATGTTTGTGGATTTTCATTTTCCTAGGCAGTCAGAGTTTCTGTAGTTCTTGTGTTTCTTTGTGGAATGCAAGGATTTGTCCTTTTCCTAAAATTAGCAAGCTGAACTTTCCTGTTGGGCTATTCTCATTTAACTTCAGGGTGGTGCCAAGAAGGTCATTATTTCTGCTCCCAGCAAGGATGCTCCAATGTTTGTTGTAGGTGTCAATGAAAACGAGTACAAGCCTGACATTAACATTGTCTCGAATGCAAGCTGCACCACCAACTGTCTTGCTCCTCTAGCTAAGGTAAATTACTTTCAAGATGGCCTAGTTCTTCATTTTTGATCTTTTACTTAATATTAATTAATATTTTGTTTAAATATCTCTAATGGCAGGTCATCCATGATAGATTTGGAATAGTCGAGGGTTTGATGACCACAGTTCATGCGATCACCGGTAATTCTTATTCGAGTTGTATGATCCTACTGAGCATTTCAAAGTTGATACGATCTTTGCTTTTGTTTATCAGCCACTCAAAAGACTGTCGATGGGCCATCAAGCAAGGACTGGAGAGGTGGACGTGCAGCAAGCTTCAACATCATTCCTAGCAGCACGGGTGCTGCCAAGGTATTTCCATAATATGATTTATATTGTTATATACATAAACTTATAGGTGCTCATTTGAACATATTATGTAGATATTCATAACATTTATGCTTGTATGCTCAAGAATGCACACATTTCAATGATTTGAGAGAGCATATCTGCTTTTTATGTATGTTGGTGGTCACTGATATTGCAAGTTAGAAGACATCTGTTTCTGCATTAAAATTATTCTAAGTTGATCTGTGGAGTGTAGAGTATTGCTTGTGCGGATGCATTTTAAAGTGTACTTGTTCATTTCATTGCAAGTGGCCATTCGAAAGAGTTACAAATTACACAGTTATACTTTATTTCCTGATTAAATTTGTTTCTTCTATTCCCCTTGCTTATTTGACCATTGAGATAATTGCTTGTTTCTAGTCTGACATCCAAGTACAAGTCTGAACCTTGTATCTGCTGCTAATCGTGCAGGCTGTTGGAAAAGTTCTCCCTGCTTTGAATGGAAAGTTGACTGGTATGGCATTCCGTGTTCCAACTGTTGATGTGTCCGTGGTGGATCTCACTGTCAGACTTGAGAAAGAAGCTACCTATGATGAGATTAAGGCTGCCATTAAGTAAGTAGCCAAAGTTGACGCACATGATTCTTCTTATAATGGCAATGATTAAATCCACACAACTGGTGTTGTAGATATTACTCATCTGGGTGCGGGACATAGGTTAGCTGGAAAGTCATAGAACATAATATTTTCAATTATTGACTTAATAAACAAGTATATCGTATCATGCTTTGTAACCCATGGAGATGTGTTGGGAATCATCTTCCCTTTTTTTTAATGTTTGGCATTTACATCTATTTGATTTTTTTTTAAATTTTAATCTCAGGGAGGAATCTGAAGGAAAGCTCAAGGGCATCCTCGGATACGTGGAAGAGGATTTGGTGTCCACCGACTTTGTGGGTGATAACAGGTGCTGTCTCTGCTCAAATATTTAATAATGTCAAAGAAACTACTTTGGTGACAAAGCTGAAAAGTTATTCATTGCATGATTTGGTAATCTTGTCGAAGCTGATCCCTTTATGATGATATTTTAATTGTCTAATTCTTTGATTGGTCATTACAGGTCAAGCATTTTTGATGCCAAGGCTGGAATTGCTTTGAACAAGAAGTTTGCCAAGCTCGTGTCGTGGTACGATAACGAGTGGGGCTACAGGTAACTAAATCTCACTCCGCCTGCCCGCCCGCCCACAAAAATGACTCGCTGTCATGTTTATATATTTGAATTTTGGTCTTCTTGTTTGCAGCTCTCGAGTTGTTGACCTCATCCGCCACATTCATAAGAATCAGTAGTTTGGATGCTTCTCTGAGGTCGTGTTGGTTGAAGTGGTTGTAGTAGGGGGTCGTCGCTTCCCTTTCTAACCATGAATGAATAAACGTGTTGGATGTCATATCCACTTTCTTAGTTGTCCTGGCCACCGGCGGGTGATGCCTAGAGTTCGATTGAGATGTTAAATACTCGGCTGAGTGTGAAGCTGGAATGTTTAGTTTCTTTGCATCGGGCTTTTAATTAGACCTAATTTTGGCTGATCTTAATGAATCGCTTGAATTTCCAGTCTTTTGATTTTGCATCGGGCTTTAATTTTGCTTCTGTTAAAAAAAAAGCAGAAGGGAGGACTACAATTTTCCTATAAAGCCAAGCCAGTCGTGTAAAGTACCAGTATCAATTTTCCTTTACAGTTTAGTGCTGCTATATTATGATGGTATATCAAAACTGTAAACTAGCAGTAATTGCTTTTCACAAACTTATATTCCCGTTGCTTGCTTTTCTTATCTTTTATAAGATACCATCGCTAAATTTTAATGCCCCTCGAAACTAACCTGATCAGAAATTATGTCCTAATCCTCAGGGAATGCTAAATTTGCCCAAAGTTATGTTCATCCATATGAGGTAGCTCAACTTCAAATAACTGATGCCTCACCCAACCAAAATAGAAAAGAAAAGAGAATTTATGCCTGAGGTGGAAACGCAGCATGCAAAGATGCCCCCATTAAGCAGGAGAGTGAGCAATGATTCAATTTTTTTTTCTTTTTTTTGGGTGCAAAACACTCAAGTTTATTGCATTTATAGTCAACCAAGATTACAACTGCACCTTTCAAAAGACAAATTTCCTACCAATAAATAAACAATTTTCTCCTCCTTTTAAATAAATCCTTATCGATCTGTTTATCTTTAATTATTATGTATCTATGGTCTCTCATCTATCTTATATCATATAGATCATATATTGGACATTGTATTTTCTTGAAGAACTCTCAATTCGAATTTTCTTGAAGAACTCTCAATTCGAATGATCCTGGTTAAGGATTTTATTTGAGCAAGCACACACGAGATATTCCTCTCGTAATATCGAGAGTGAATGATCCTCTATTGACATTTAATTGTATCTTTCGAATGGTTGTTGACATTCCCAATAACTAATTATATCCGATGTAAAACTTCTAAATATATAAGTCCGACATCAAGAAATGAATTACTCATATAAGACGTCATTGGTGTCTCAAGTCTAAAGATCAGACACACAACTGAGACTACGGAATCGTTGTCTGACGTCAGGTATCATTAACCATATAATATTCCATAAGCAGATAAATCAATGAACTCATTTTTCAATGAACACCTACACTGTACCTCTAGTGTCCCACATGAACGATTATGAGATCAGCCGCTTCCATCATATGGACGAACGCACTAGTCTGTCCAGTTATATTGATGTCTTTCTTGAATAACCTATGATCAGGACGATTTAGGGTCTACGACGAATCTATCTCATTCTCATGATCTCATCACAATCCGATTATCATTACATAAATCTAAGGACATACACATTAGTGATGCTCATACTCAAACTAAATTGAAAAATTAAAATTTTTAATTAAAAAATATATATTTTTTAATAAAAAAATATTTTTTAAATTAAAAAAAAATCTAATAGACAACACATGAACTTGACTATAGAACTCATCATTTATGCAATAATACATCAACTAACTAACATTGATGTCTCAATAAAAAAATTAAAATTTCACCATATTAATTTGGCACTAAAAAATCTAGTTTTGTTAGAGTCGCATCTCCCACTTGTTAGTTAATGGTGACACCCTTAATCGCTTCAAAGTTCAATAACAGACCTCGAAGGTCGATCGATCGAACAATGTTAATCAACATGATGTGCGAATGCATCCATATGATTCCATTACCATTTATTACAGAATAACTCAAAATTCTTCTATTGTTTCTTCGAGTACATGATAATTTTATGTAATAATTTTTATAACTTAATATCTAATAATTACTCCTCCGATCAACAATTCTGAGACATCATCATTATCATCAATAAAGATAGTAAAATATAATGATTTCGTGATGCCATTTATGCCACATCATCATCATCATCATCAACAAAGGTAATGAAATGTGAATATCATCATCAATCATCAATAAAGATGTTGAAATCCTCAACATCCCATATTTAAGTCGTCATTATCACTAAAACATAAATAATGGCGATTCATGTATTACTATTCATTTTCATCGACCAAGAATCGTTCATCATCATCAAATTTTGATATATAACATCGAAACCTTAAAGCTCCAATTATTTTGGCTTGATCAATGGATATTTACCGCGTTATTGAGATAACTAACTAAAAAGCGATATCTTTATTTAAGAGTTTTTAAATCTTAATTCATAGTATCCTCGTCTTTTCGCGCACCATTAGTTTTACTCATCTCACGTGATCTGTATGTCTCCTCAAATCTCAAATATTAATATCAATGGGCAACAAAATGATTGCTTTAATATCATTTGTTTATATATAACTATGAATCCGCTCACCCTTCAAAAGTTCATCCTATGTGATATAACATAATTTTCTTACCCAGCAAATTAAGAACATCCACTAACATCGATTTAGACATTGATCTAAAGATACATCTAATCTACTTCTAAGAGGATTAAAATTACAAAAAATATTTAAAATTCAAAACCTCTTCCTAACACTTCTTTAAATATATCACCTGAATTCGCTATCAAGCAACTAGAAAATGATGACAGCAAGAGTGAGACATGACCAGCCTTCATAAAAGATAAGGACACCATTAGCCGCTTTAAATATCCAAACAAATATTTTAAAGGACAGATGTTTCTTAAACATTAGATAAAAATTTTCTTCGTGGACTTGAAATATATACAAAAATTTTATCTACCATCCATTCTAAATCTTAGTTTCTGCATGTCATAGCGACACTATATAGAACATTCGCCCTAAAATAGCTCACTCACTTCTAATCATGGTTGACTACTACCAGTTAATTCAAATTAATATAATTACCATCAGAACAAATCTTTAAAAAAATTAGCTAAAGTAAAAAAATAGGCATCCATGCAGGTTTTTTTAGCTAAAGCAAGCCACTCGATATGATATATAGAACAAGCATCTCACCAGCTGTTTGCACACCCACACCTCAATTATGATCTGTAAAGACCACATTTTGTTCTGCATAATCCACATTCATCTGGAAATAGCTTCAGCTGATCATTAGCCAGATACCAAGAAACAGGTTGTGTTTGCACATCTCACCAGGAAAAGCATCAGACACAATTACCAAAAGTCTGGGTTTTCGTAGACTTCGACATCGATGACTCCATGCAGTAGTTTAGGTTTTATTTATAACATGGAGATATAGATCATCATTAGACTGTATTGCCATACTATACTACTAGTTCATTTCAAACAACACACTCGATGCAGCTTCAGCTCCTTCAGTCTTCCTCTTCGGCTTCCTCGAGCCAGTTCACAAATGGCTCCAGGGCTTTCACAAAAGTTTGCCTGCAAACATCAGATGCTTACTGAATGATCTTGAGAACAGAATCAGAAATTGAAGTAAACACAGTTAAAAGATGAGAATTCTGGTGTACTACTCGTGAATTAGTGCATATAACATGCCAAAGTCATGGTTCTGAGTGCAGTCCAGACTGATGCATAAAGATCAATGGCTTTTCAAGTCAGCAGAATGGGCAGCAGCATATGCCTCGCGTATACTTGAATCTCAAGAAAAGAAAAGAAATCTGTGGCACATGTCAATGTACTGACAAATCAGTGTTTTGGAGACCGACACGGTTCTAGTACCCAAAACATCAAAGGTCAAAATAAACCGCCATCAAAGGTCTAGTACCCAACAATACTGTTGATGATCTTGTGACAGTAGTCACATGCTCCATAACGACAACATTAAATTAATAATTCTAGAATCAATCACCCCATTCCGTGCTAATAGATCTAGTCAAATAAAAAAGCCACCCATAAATTACTTGAGAAGTATTCCCTAAATTTTTGACACCAAGTACCTAACAAGCATCGGTATCCATTACATCTGGATACTGGCATCAATAACTGTCTACATCCTACGAACTTTAGAAAGCATCATTCCATCCAAATAGATAAGAGGGAAAAAGGAGGCTTACGCACCTGCCCTTTGGGTTTGCACCTTTGCGGAACCAAAGAAGAATTGTATCCTCAGCAAGAACATCTTGCTCATAAAGAGACCTTATAATTTCTGGAAACAATTTCATAAGTTTGGCATCCTCATAGCACTGGATCTGGACTTTGTAAATCAGTTCTAGTTCCAGTTTCCCACTAGTACAAAAAGCATTCAGAAGCCCTGCCCAAGCTTTCACCTGCAGACATAGCAAAGTCCTTGATCCAAATAAATAAAAAAAAAATAGCATGAAAAATAAAGAGTGTTTTCTCCATTCCTTTTATACTCAATTTATTTTTTAACAGGAAAAGGTGAAGTCACCTCCACAAAGAATGTCATTATCAAGGGATTTCATACCCTACGTGTACACTTGCATAACATACATAAAAAATAATCAATTAACATGCTGTACAGAATACATGAAAAAAAATACACTGAAATCTATACTATGAAACTCCTGAAAGCAAATGCACAGGAAGCCAACTTCCAAGTACAGCATTGATAGAACCAAATATTCTACACTTATATGATGTGCAAGACGATGGCTAAGGATGCTTAACTAGAAGAACAAAAGAGAAAACATGCACATTTTTACCAAATAGTTGAAGCATCAAGACAAAAGACAGGCACCCCATATAAGCAACAAACAACAGTTGCTCAAAATGTATCTGCAAGAAACATTGATATTCAGTCCCCTATGGCTAAAAGATCCTCATAATTAGGTAATTCTGGCAACCTAAATTGAATAGAACTGAGATTAGGGGCACATGCATGAAATAATAAGCATGCGCTTAGAAGTCAACTTAAAAGGAACAGCCAATCAAGATTGAACTGGAAAATCCATTTTTCAAAGTTAAAATCTGCATCCTAGTTCTGCTGCCTAGAACACTTTTTTCAAAAAATTCCCAACACAAGTTAAACTCCTCATGCATCAATTATTTAATCTTTAGAGAAATTGAACCTCTGTACATGAGACACATCTTGGTTCCAAAAATCAGGATGTTTTTTGCTACTTTGATGGCATAGCATCATTAAAATTGCCAAAGCGAACAGACATATTACTGAACAATTGATATGG